ATATAGGGTGTGATGGGGGTTACGTCACTTTTCTTACAGAAGTTAAAACACATTTGCTCTCATATTTAAATTAAAAAAATAGTTTTTACCTTTAAAGCAGATATCTTTTAAGCTCTTTTGTTTTTCAAACAGAAACAGAGCAAACCAAAGTTCCCTTGGCACCACCCACTGTTACCTCAACAAGGACACTGCTTTTGGAGAGGTTTCCTTTAGCCTATGCTGCCTTCTGAGAGCCCTGTAACTCCAGGAAACTCATAGTTAAATACTGATTACATCCACTAAGTGAGAGAAAAGTGCCTCAAAAACTTTCTTTATTATTCTCAAGGTCATCATACATTGGCCTCTAAATAGAGGATATGCCAGTTTTATACAAAGTCCATTCATTGGTGAATTTTGGAAAGGGAAATAATTTTCATTCTTCTTTTGTGAGTGCTCATGTGGGCTTTCTTTGTGTTGGGTAGCTGAATATTGCTCCTAAATGACTTTATGATAATCTTACGCTCAGTAGAAATAGGGCTCATGGATTTATTTTAATTAACTTTCTAGGGGTGTCCTTTCTGGAATCACACTGGTTTGCTTGAAAAACAAAGGAGAATTAGGAGACTCAGAAATGACACTGTAGGAGGTTAGCTATGTGACTTTCTTTCCTCCTGTGAAAAAAATTTCAGGAAGTGGGGGCCAGTGCAAGAATCGTATCTTACTCCAGCCATCAGAGTGAACTTTTGTGCCCATTGAAATCAATGCTCCTACTGCCTCCTTTGCAGCCTGACTTTAACTTTCAGGAGTGCATCCTAGTAGTGTGTCTGCCCTTTGCCATTCTCCTGCAGAGAGCTCAATTTCACCCCAAATACAAGGCCATCTATTAGTGAAGTATGGAAACAAAACCTTATCTCCCAATATATTTTAGCTACATCACAGATTCAGTTTTAGAGCAAAAGAACACTGAGGATGACAGCCCCTCTTTTCACCTTGAGTCAGACTGTAAGGACACCAAGCACCCAGGGCTGCACAACGTGGAGCGTGGCCAGCAGGTCAAGAGCCCTCTACTCTGTTCTCATGAGACTCCACATGCAGTACTGCACCCAGCTCTGGAACCCTCTGCACAGGAAAGATCTGCCTGAGATCATGAAAATGATCAGACAGAAGGAGAACTTCTATGACCGGCTGAGAGAAGTGGGGTTGTTCAGCCTGGAAAAGAGAAGATTCCAAGAAGACCTTTCAGTACTTAAAGGAGGCTTTTGAGAATGATGGGGACACACTTTTAGCAGGGCCTGTATCTCAAGGGTAGCTTTAGATTGAACACAAGGAAGAAATTCTTTACTGTGAGGGTGGTGAGGCACTGGAACAGATTGTCCAGAGAAGTTGTGGACGTCCCATCTCTTCAATGAACTGTTCAAGGCCAGGCTGGACAGGGCTTTGAGCAGTTTGATCTAATGAAAGGCATCCATGTCCATAGCAGGGAGTTGGACTATATGATCTCTAAAGTACCTTCCAACCCAAACCATTCTATGACTTTATGATACATGGAATAGAAGAAAAGCACAATATCTAATTTAAAGTCTTTTGTAACGCATTGAGTTCATAAGAATTCTGATTTTTTTCACAATATCAGCATAGTATCTGCTAAACAATTAGTTCTTGCCTCTTATGCTACTAAAACAGTAATTTGTAATTTAATATCTCAAAAGAGATGTAAAGCTCAGAACACTCCAATTCAAGGGCAAACAAATCACTTACATGAACAGCACATGCATTTACCTAAACAAAGACTTTGCCCATGGCATTAAAACGACATAATTGACTAACTTTATCTCCAGACACAGGAAAAATAAAGTATACAATATATCATACTACAGACATAGTGATTTTTAAGGTTGTCAATTACAATCTTTTAAATAAACACCATGCTCCTTCTTTGTCCTCTGTTGTAGGACTGAACTTTACTTTCATATGTGCTTCCTTTAAGTCTCTGGCCCCAGAAGACTTACAGCTGTTTGGAGACTCCCAGGCTTCCCATGATGATGGGGTGACTTCTGCACACCCCCAGGGCAGGACACCCACCCTGCCTGACCAATTCTCACTAGACTTGTCGGACAGACTGTAGAGTTGGTCTTGTCAAGCTACACTTTGCACACACATAAACTAGATAAGAGGCTCTGATCTCCTCTACCCACTGATCATGAGGGTTCTTCCAATCCTCAGCAAAAAAAGTTTTGTGAAAAACCACTGCTTTCAGACAATTACATTTTTATGTCTTCAGTGCACACACCATTGTTACAAAAGCTTTACCAATACTGATCAAGATGATACAGACCCCAGAAAAGGGGGTTGTTTTCAGTTTAGTGGCATGATCTTCACATGGCTTGCACTGGATATCATTAACAGAATGAGGAATAATGGCAAGTATCAGATAAGCACACAGATAACGGCCCAAAGCAAAGTGTGGGAAGCTACTGTGATATTCACAACCAAAGGGCAGTAGGTACCTTACTCAATTTCATCAGCCAAGTTTGCACTTACATAGCTACTATTTAAATTGCACGTAAAGAGCAGTATCCAAAGCAAAGTTAGATTTTTTCCAAGATCAGTGACAGTGTATGGGTGAAACAACAGAAACTCTAGAATCAGTAATAAGCCTGAATCCAGCTGAACTATTGTTACCAGAGTCAGTATCTCTGGAAAGCATGACTTAGTAAAGAAGTCTGAGTAAATACTGTTTCATTAGAAGAGCAACATCTGATTAAGACCACAGTAAAATTAATGTAAGTTTTGCTCTTGAACTCTGTGGAAGCAGAATTGAATTCACTAACCTAGAACCCTTCAACTCAAACCTAAAAAACTGTCTACTTAGTTTTATTAGATCCTTAGAATTTTTCTATTATATTCTCTTGCATAATTTCTTCCTTTTCTCATATTATTTTTCTAATTGCAGACCATCTGAACAAAGATGACATCCTATGAAAGAAGAACATTACCACACATTTTCCCAGAGACACAAGGGTGTTTTCTGTGTTACTTTTTAAAGTTTTGTCCTGGCAGGACACAATAGGCTATTGCTTTCTGTCTTACTGGGTCAAATCAGCATACACAGCCCAGAAGTCATAAGTAGACATAAGCAACATTGTTTTTAGTCCTTCTAAAAAATAAATCTGGAACACAACTGTGGGCCTAGATAATAGTCTAATAATAATTATAATAATAACAATAATTAGATAATAATTATCTAATTATCTAATTATAGATAACAGCACAAAATAAACTCAATAGCAGAAATACAGGCAGATGCAAGCAAATTCAATAGGCTCTCTGTCTTCCATATGTGTGTGGACTACAGTTTAGCCTCGCAGAGGGACATCCACTGTATAAATCTGAGTCTCAGACTTGATACATCCTCCACGATCTACAGCCTCAGATGACTTCTTCATATGGAGCAAGCAACTGCTGTCTGACCAAGCAGTGAGCATCAAAGGGTTCTGCTAGCAATCTTGCACTATGTCAAGGAACACACATGAAGGGGGCATGACCTTGCCTGCATCCAAGGCTGTCTTTAGGCCTACTGAGGCTCAAATCTGTACATCTCAAACAGTATGAAGGCATATATGTAAGCACACACTTACGAGCTGCTGCAGGATTGCCTTTTTATTAGTTTAGGTCTCTACAGAGGAAGCGATCACAAAACTTTTGCATTCCACAGAGGATCCTCAAAGGTGACCTTGAAACCTATCTTTCAGTTGCTACGAAGAGCCAGTTTTCATGTACCCTGTAAACATGGTTTCTCCAAGATACCTCCAGAAGACCATCCAAAAGATGAGGCTCTTATTAACTGTGGCTAGAGATCTTGAGCTATATAACTATTTTTTAAAAATACTGAGGTAGACTGAAAAAGTTTTAACTATAATTAAGAAAAATCTCAAGATTCCATTTACAAGAGTTATACTTGCAGGTGATTTAAGTTTACCTCATAATGAAAATGAGTATTAAAGACTGGAAGTCAATCCCAAAGCAGCATACAAAGCAAGACTCTTATTCTGGTATGTTTAAACTGGTTAAATGCAGCCAATTCTCACCAACCTCACAAGCTGCCAGGTTAGTCCTGTATATTTAAAGCACTAATAATATCCTACAGATTTTCAGTATGGAGCTTCAAGGGACATTAAAAGCAGTCATGCACTGGCAGCTACACTCATCAAGCCTACAATCCACACAGCAAAACAATGTTTACATATGCACTAGCGGCCCAAAAGGTGTCGTAACAGTTTACTGGATCAGTAATTTTCAAGGCTCACCAAAACTTGACCTTCTGAGACTGGTGGTGATGGGCACTCAAATTAAGCTTTTTAAACTGTTACCAGTTTATGCAAGATGTTGGCCCTCAGCAGAAACAGATACCAGTGATTTCCACTGTCACAATACAGCAAAGCACACTGCTTGGTGCTCCATATATAGTATCAGTCTCCATGAAAGCATCAGCCTCTCCCTGGTAGGCCAGTTAACACTCATGCTGTAGACACCAGAAGTAATACCACAATAATGCTTGACATCAGCCAGGGTCCAGCTCAGGACCTGTCCAGGATCCACCTCAAGCATTAACCTGCTCTGTCACCTACGCCAGCTCTCACCTGCTGGGCAATGGACACCTCCCCACGCTACTGCTGCCTGCAGGTGAGTGACCCGGGGCTGCTCGCCAAGGAGGGTGGCTGGGGACCATTCCCCACCACTCGCCTGACAGCCAAGGCAAGAGGCAACAGCTGTCCCCGTTAGGGACCGGCCAGGACGGCGACACCACTGCCCTACCCGCCAAGCCAACACCTCTGTCCTGCCCGTCACGACGAAGGCCAGTGGCCGTCTCCTGAGCACAGGTGGCTCTTAGGCAGTGGCCGCCGCCGCCGCCCTGCCGCTGTCCCCACCCGCCAAGGCGAGGGCTGGCTGCCATCTCTCAGCACCAGTGGTCTCGTTTAGTAGCCACTGGGACACGACCCTGCCCGTGCTGCCGCCCTTACCGGCAAAGTTCTTGGTGAAGACGAGGGTGACGAGGAGGATGGGGATGAGGACGGTCCCGATGGTGACCACGCGGTCGAAGGGCAGCTCCAGCTTCAGCTGGAGGAGCAGAGCCGCCAGCGCGCCCGCCTTGTCATCCTGCTGCCCTGGCAGGATGAGCTCCTTCAGCTTCTCGCCCGCCAACAGCGCCGTGGCCATGTCGGGGTGGTTATCGATGATGTGTTGCATAAGCAGCGGCGGCGGGCGGCCTCACGCCGCCGGGCTTCCCCGGGGACGGGCGGCGCCCGCCCGGCCTGCGGGGACAACACCGACAGCGGTGACGGCGGGGCCGCGCTGCCGCAGCGGCACCGTGCGCTCCCCCGGCCCGGCGCGCAGCCCCCCGTGCAGCCGTGCGGGCGGGCCGGGAGGGCGCGACCCCGGCGGCAGCGGCTGTGCGGCGCACGGCTCCCCGCTCGCTCCCCTATCACGAGAGGCGGGCGGCGACACGAGATGCCCGGTGACAGCTGTGCCATTAGGCGCTGCCTCGGCTTCACAACCCGTGCTGTACGACAGCGGCGCAGCAGCCATGCAACCAGGCAGACCGGAGCCGCCTCCCGAAGTGCTGCAGACAAGGAAGGGAGCATTTACCTGGCAACTTCGGTTCCCTTGGCTCCGGGGGACGGTGAACAAAACCGATGGCCGGTACAGGAGAGCGGAAGCCGAAAATAAACTTACACTGGACCTTCCTGCCGAAAAAAAGGTCCCTGCACCAGCACAAGTAATGAAACCGCTCCGGATTCGGAGCGGAAGGTGGATGATGTGCTGATGCTCGTTACAGCAGCGGGCGGCTGGCGCTCGCATGGAAATGCCCGCCGGCACCGAGCAGCGATAGCGTGCGGAGCAGTTCAAGAAGGGGCTCGCAGCCGTGGGGAGGAGGAGGAGGAGGAGGAGGAGGCGGGAGCAGCCCGGAATGAACTGCGGGAACGCAGAGGTCCTTTAAGGCATCCCAGCGAACCGCTGGAGCCTGCGGAGCCGGGCGCGGCCGCAGCAGGGCGGCCGGGAGCGGCGCGGCCGCAGCAGCCGGTGCGGCACAGCCCATGCGGGGCTCCGAGCGCAACACGTCGCGGCCCCGGCGCCCGCGTCTCCGCAGGAGCCACCGCGCGGCGGCCGCACCGCGCATGCGCCCGGCGGCCCGGGGAGCGCGGCGGCCGTGCCGGCCCTGGGAAGGTGTCGGGGGCGGCCGGAGGGACCGTCCGGGGGTGTCCTGGAGACACCGGGCCCGGTGGTCCTGGAGACACTGGGACGGGTGGTCCTGGAGACACCGGGACGGGTGGTCCTGGAGGCAGGACGGGACCGGGGCTCCCTCCTGTCTCCTTCCCGCAGCCCGCACAGGGGAGCTCGGGCCCGGGTAGGCGGGAGCTCCAGCGGCTCAGGGACAGAGCAGGCTAGTGATGAGGGAAAGGGAAACCCTCACCCAAACGGGCCCTGAAGGTCTTGGATCTGTAGGATTTAAATGCTGGCAATAGAAAGCCCTTCCAGATGCTGTCTTTTTAAAGCACATGTGGGGTCGCCCACACCTGGTAAAACAGCCTAAGAGCAGAGTGGTTGCCAAACACGCAGAGTCCAGCTTTCACCCGCAGCCTCTGATGTTGTTCAGACCTGTGTCTTCACAGAGATGGCCGGACCTTGCTGTCCTCCTCCAGAACAGGCTGGAAACGGAGCACCCATTGACACTCTGAGAAAAAGCTGGACCACACAGCATCAAAGGAGGCCGTATGTGCTGCATCATAGCCTGCAGCAATGGTGTTCAGACAAAAGCTCCAGGTCACAGATCCTGCTTCTTAACTTGTTTATGGATTTTATATTTAGCAGTACTTAGATAAAAAACAGAGATAAACAAATATTGCCGATATTTCTCTCAAAGATTTGCAGTTGTCATCTGCAACTCACATGAGTAAGGCAGAGATTTTTATCTTTGCCTTGAAATTTTAGTTTTCCTGGTCACTATGAACAATATGATGGTTGTGTTTATTATCCAATTTTAAATATTGGGTGCAAACTTTAATTAATACTTCTTGGCAGGGGTCCTTCCATCCAGGCAGGGAGATAATGAGCAAGGCAAGAGGGGTGTCCTGATGGTGACTGAGCAAGGATCCCAGGCAGCTGACACAAAGCTGTTTGTGCCAAATGCTCCTTAAGAGTAGTGAAGATCAGAAGGCAATAGAGCCTAAACCTGAACTTATAACCATCTGTCCAACCCCCAACACCATCACTGTTTTCATTTTCCCTGCTCCTAATCCTCCATGGGCTCTGCCTCTGACGGTCTTCTGTAAGAACTGACACTGCCTCATAGGCAGAAGGCAGGGAGGAGAGGTACCCTTTTCTTACCCCCTTGTTCAGTGCGTATTTGTGATGCAGTGCAGCACAGAGTTCTTGGTCACCAGCTGTACCCCAGGCTGGGCAAGGTAGGAGCAGTGAGGATCCTGGTGTGGTGAACTTGGGAAGAGTACAGCCTGTGTTGTTTATACAGCTGAGGGGACAGTTTCTGGTTTGGCCTTCAAGCCTCAATAATCCTAGCTATCTATGATGAGGGATAGATGCATCAATTTCTCTTGCCCTAGCTGTATTTGGACTACATGTGTATTTTATCAGCCCCTAATATACGAGCTTTCTATTCCAACAACAAAGAACAAAATACCTTATGCACTTCTTACTGCTGCTGTCAGAGGGATGATACTGAGCATCACTACAGCTGATGTGCAAAACTTTTGCTCAGACTTTCACCATTGTAATTGTTTCATCATGATTTGCCTGCTGTTGACAATCTTGTCCTGCTCCTTGAGACTGTAGTTGAAAGACCACTTTTCTTCTCACTATGTCATCTCCTTTTTGAATCCTCTTTCGCCCATCCAGTTACTTAATTCAAAACAATCAGCTTGCTTTTTGTTTTCAGAAACTGCCTGTGGTATTTCTTCTATCTTCCCCTACCTAAACCCTTAGCACTAGTCTGCTATCTAGATGCTGACTCTAGATGCTTCCTCATGTTTTTCCATGAAGAAGTAATGCCAGCTCTAGTAACCATTTTTGAGGGACCTTGGTGTAAGCACCTACAAATTTTAAGAACTTCGAAGCAGCCATCTAGTCCCTCACATCTCCAAATGTGTCTGCAACTGGTCAATTAAGGAAGTGTTAAAATGAGGTAGCCCATGCTGATGCCTTTCCCTAACTGAACCAGCTTCCAACTATGTTGAGGGAATTTCCTGAGCTTGTGGTGGTTTGATAATCCTCAAAAGATCTCAGGATATTTTTTCTGGTCTCCTATTGGGACTGTGTAAATTTCTGGCATCCACAGCCTCTTTATTAAGGAATTCCAAAGGCCTCCAAGCTGTTGTATCAAACCTACCTTGTTCTGTTTGCTTCAAATGTAATCAAATAATCAAATTAGACAGGCCCTTATGGGAACATACCTGGATCAATCTCTACCCATCTTTTCCAAGATGCATATACTTCTGTAGACATCTATTATATGTAATACATATTATATATTATTCCACATTTAATATCCAGGGCATAGAAGAATAACCATAAATCAGACACTCTGCTTTTAAAATAAATATGACATCTATAAAATATCTCTTATGAAGCTTGCTTCATTATAATACCATTATTTGATTTAATCATATTGATTTTGTAATCCTGCTTTGCAAGATTATGTCTGTACAGCAAGCCAAGAGGAAGGCAAGATGGAATGGTACTGCTAGAGCAGAATATGGGTAAACAGAAAACCTGTAGTAAGGCAAAGAGTGGGACATGGAAAATTACTGTCACAATTTACAGACAAACACCATAGCCAAGTTTCTCAGCAGTAACATCCTGGCATGTATGCCACTGGGTGATCTAGACAATAATCAGGCTGTGATAATATTCCTATGCTAATAAATATTTCACTAATTGCTGGTAGGGTCAGAAATTGATTTACAGATCAAAGTGGAAAGTCATGTGAAGGAATTCTAATTAATTCCAACAAAAGATCAAAAAAGGAGTATTATTTATTAGTTTGAATAAATCACTTGTTTTCACATAGAAAATACTGATTATTGAAGGACAAGTGTGGGCCTTTTAAAAGTCTTGTTTTCTCCAGTTCTGAAGCTTCAGAAATTCATAAGCAAATAAGAAAAAGTGAGATTGATTTAAAGTTCTGACAGGGACACCTGTAGCACCTAGAATTTACTTTATAAGCAGAGGTATATTGCCTCTAGATGTGGTGTGGGATTTATCTATTCAAACATGAAGGCGCCTGAGCGAGATATTGCAGAGCTCTATTCCTGAATCATGTAGGAGGAGAAATAGCTAAATGTAACTGTGCAGTTCATGTGACCAAATGTAGATGTTCTCTCCCAAATGAGATGAATCATTTACACATTGTAGGTGTCCAGAGTTTACACATGAATCCCACTCACAGTCTCTTATATTTCAGCTTGTCTTAGCTTAGCCATTTCCCCAAGGGTGACTGTGTGTTGTCCTTGTCCTTATCAGTTCCCAGTCACTTGAAAGTTGCTGCCTTTTAATCTGAAGGTTTTAAAATTGAATTCCTCATGCTGAATTTATGGAAAGGATGCAGTTTCCCTGTTACTATTGTCAAGGAGCAGGACTGGGAAGCACTTGTGGAGAATTTCTTACCTCCAGCCAGGGCTGTGACTCAAATTCAGGTGGTCTTTACCCCATCAGCGCACCTTGGGAATCACATCACTCAGCCTGGGGATGGTGTGGCCCTGCACAGACCAGCTACTCCTGTGGTGGCAGGGATGCTCTCACCAGTGTGGGTTTGCAGTCAGTGCTGCCATGGCCATGCAGGTGCTGCTGCAGGTGCTGTCTGTGTGAGCAGCAGTCACACCTTTGGTGACTGCAGCCATGTCTCTGCAGAATGCTCCCAGCGAGACAAGACTGTAGGGTTGGAAATGGCAACTGGCAGATGGCAGGGAACTGTGACAGTGGGTCTTAGCTCAGAGGTGATGGTTTTGGTGGTAAAGTGAAGTGAGATGCCAGATGATAGTGAAAAGGAGCAACTGGCAACACAGCCAGGCGTTTTGGCAGTAACAGGAGGCTCTGTGCTCCCTGGTAAGAAAAAGTACCTATTAACAGCAAGATGTGAGATGGTTGCTGACATCGATGATGTATTTTTTGCTGCAATGCACATCTCCTTGCTAGTGGGTCTCTTCCGAGCTTGTTTAGAGTAGAATAGACCATTTCAGATTCAGTGAATATCTACTGCAACTGCCTGACCACTTCAGGGCTGACCA